ATAACGGAGAAAGTGTTGCTGTTGTAGATGTTGGGATTCGAAAGGAAGCAATTGTAGTAGCCGGAGAGGAGATTTTCATTGATGAAATGAAGATGGTAGACGGAGTGATGTGGTTTGGGAATTTTAGCAAAGTGGGAAAAAAGGAAAAAAAACCTTTATTCTTGTTTTTAATTGCCTTTTCTTCCTTTTTAATTTGTAAAAAGTGCTTGAGGAAAATCAAAATATTTTGATAATTAAAATATTAAAAATTTTAATAACAAACTAAAATAATCTTTATAAATCAATACATAAAAAAGATTGAATACGAATATTTAAATAATTTTAAATAAAATTTTAATACTTAAAATATCACAATATTTTAATTTTTATTTTTTAACTTATAAAAAATATATATTATAATAATAAATTCAAAATGATACATCATATTTTTCGATACCCTATCCATATCAATTTAATAACAAAATTGACATACAAATTGCTACGAGATTAACAACTTTAACTATATATATTTAAAACAAAAATAAAAATTATTATAACTAATTAAATTATTTCACCTTGCCTCCCCTACTGTTCCTTATCCTCAAAGAAAAGAAACTATTAAGCTTTGTTTACTGTGAATGTAGTTTTGGTACTTTTGAATTTTTTTTTATCTTACTTTGATAATAAAAGATAATTATCTCTCATCTCATTTCACTGGTATATTATGTAATTTAAATTTAATATTTTTTATTTTTATAAAATAATATACCCATTAAATTATATAAACTGTTGTCGGTATGTTTTTTTTATACGTGAAGAAAGCAAGACCAATAGAGAAAAAGCTGGGAAGACCAAAAGGTCAAAGTCAGCCCAACAAAAACGGGCCCCCGTTTTTCTCACATCAAAGAACACGAAACAGAAAAATATCACCCATAATTAATTAAGAAGAAGTCTGTGAAAATCAAACCATACAAAATCCAAATCGGTTGTTGAAAGCTGCTGTCTTGATTTCCAGAACAATGGCTGTTAATCCGTCTACTCGCTGTACGCCTTCGGTGATCCGATACCCATCTCGCCGTTCGCTGCTCGCTCTCTGCAAACAGACTTCCTCGCGACCCGTTTCCTTCAGCGGAGCTAGGAGCGCGAGGATCATCTCGGTTCAAGCCCAGAAATCTGGGTCAGACGGGGTTGGACCCAAGAGGTCGATTAACATCGCCGAGACGGAAGTTCCGGTGGGCTCTTCTAGTGCCTCGGCTATTGATTTTCTCACCTTGTGTCATCGTCTCAAGGTAAGGAGCGAAAGTGTTTGCTTGTTTTTGTTTTAGTTCTAATTTTTTGGCCTCATGAATGAAACCTGCAGTTGATGTGAATTCTTTGATTTATTTTATCTTTATTTAGCTTTTTAGCTGAACATTGCATGCTCATTGGGTGCATCAATGTATGTTCTTATTTTTGTCCACCTGTAAAATGTTGTTGAATTGTTGAAAGGAGCAAGCTTTTGGTTGCTTTTCAGATGTATCAATTTTTGAAATTCTGATTATGAATCATCCCTAGATTAGTGAAAGTGTTTTTAGTTGAAGAAGGATGGAATGATTTCGTCTTTTGAGCCCATATTTCAAGAATAAATCGAATCGTCTTTGCATCTTGATAAAACAGGAGACTAGTTGTTCCTAATGGTTATAGTGGATTTTGAGTTAGTAGGATATGAAATAAATTGTCAGCCGTGAGAATTTTCACCAGTTGTTCCTAATGGTTAACACCTGATTTGGATAAAGAATGTGATTCATTTATCTCTTTCTTTTCTGTGGTAGACCACAAAAAGGAAGGGATGGATCAATCATGGGATAAAGGGTCCTGAATCAATTGCTGACCATATGTACCGCATGGCTTTGATGGCTCTGATTGCTGGTGACCTTCCTGGCGTGAACAGAGAAAGGTTGAACTTTTGTTTTGCTTATTGATATTCCTTATATGCATTCTGTGTTTGGTGACCATAATTTACAAGTTGTTTTGATTCTTACATTTTCTTTAACAGGTGTATCAAGATAGCAATTGTTCATGATATTGCGGAAGGTGCTTTTCTTATTCTTTATATTTTCAATTGTGGTTAATGGATAAATACTCTTTCATCCTGAGGATACCGGACTTCCTTTTACTCAGGTGGTGATGTCAGTTTGAATGTTAATGTCTACTGGTTTGAATTTTGAGATTCCTTTTTTGATTTTGATAGCTATTGTTGGAGATATAACACCATCAGATGGTGTGCCTAAAGAAGAAAAAAGTAGACGGGAGCAAGCAGCTTTAAATGAGATGTGCAAAGTTCTGGGTGGAGGGATGAGAGGTACTCTCTAAACCATGTTCTCCTGGGAAATTTTGGATTGCTAGATTCTCTATTACTGATATTGCTTGAATGTAATTTGACATTTGATTACCTGCAGCTGAAGAGATCCAGGAACTCTGGGCAGAGTATGAAAATAACGCTTCACTGGAGGCTAATCTTGTGAAAGATTTTGACAAGGTATGTAAATACTGGCAATAATGCATTACATGAGAACTTCTATTGCTGGAGGAGACTCCCTGAATTCAAAAGCCATACTTAATTGTAACAAAATGTATTCTATAGTTAAATATAATGTAATTTTGAGCAGCTATCCATATTTATACAAGTGAGGCACCATGTCTGTTGCTCAATCTATGATGAGGATAGTGTTGTAGGCTATATTCTGTCATGAATACTTTGGATGGCTAATTTTCAAGTGGTAAATCTATCTGGCTTGGGTTTCTTAGTTGCCTTCTTACTTGGTGAGGATGGAAGAAAGAAGGAATGAAATAAAAGAAACAAACATGATGTTTGATTTCTTTTTCTTTTTGAGAAAGAGGGGTAGGGTATTCACATCTGCATAAGAGTTGGCGTAAACAATAAAAAAATGGCAGAAGATTTTCTTCATAGAATGGTATTTTGTTGTTCACTTAATAATGCTTCTATATTGTAAACTGTGACATCAATTCTCTATCCCTATCATTTATACCAGTGACAGTGATTAGTTAAATCTATGTGCATCCAACACAAATGGATAAATACAAAATTTTTACCTTTTCCTGTATGTAATTGAAGTTATGCTGTCCATTATCCAGGTTGAAATGATTCTGCAGGCACTGGAATATGAAATGGGTAAGCATTTTGAATAACTCTTGCTATAATAACATATAGAATGCCTGTTCTTTCTCATCTGAAAATTTGATAATATATAATGGCAGAACATGGGAAGGTGCTGGATGAGTTTTTTCTTTCAACAGCAGGTAGAGTAGTTTTTTCTTCAATCAGGATGTAAATGAAGATCTTAACAACTACTTGTTTACACTCTAACTTTGTTGCCTAATTTTCTTCTCTTAAACTTTCAGGGAAATTTCAGACAGAAATTGGTAAGAGTTGGGCAGCTGAGATAAATTCAAGGAGAAAAGCTGGATTGGAAAACAACTCCAATTAATATCCTGGATCAGCTCCCATTTTTGCTTTCAATTTTTTTGTGCCGGAGCCAACCTTTTTCTGAATGGAAAAGGGTATGGAGCAAAACTTCACTTTGTTACACTACATCCTCCTCAATCACCATCTCCTTTAGTCCTCAAGAATGATCACCGTTTTCTTGTCAGTGAAAGCAACAAAAAGGATCCATCATTGACAAACTAAATGGCATGACAGTCACCCCTGGAAATCCAGCATAACAGATCTCATGCTTTAGCGCAATCTTCTTTATAGGTGCCTTTTGCCTTGCATTTTTGTAGCTATAGTATTAGGAGTGTTTATCCTAACATACTGAAGTTATCAAACATTTTAATATTAGACCCAGGAACCACTAATCTATCATAAATCTACTTTATTCAATTTTCATCATCCTTTCTGTATGTTTCTGTATGAAAGGTAAGTCCATGTGGTAGTTGCTTGGACGAGGGATGATATTTTACTTTGATGCTGTTAATGAACTAAACAGAATAATATAAAATTTCAATGGTTCACCAGCTTTTGTTTTGGTCTATTAAATTGGTTTATTATACGTGTGTCGGGGTGAATCATGATTTGATTATTCTGTCCTTCCTGTTTTGTGTTGGAGTTTGTTAATTTCTGGAGATGAAATTGTAGACTCTTGTTTTGCATATTAATTTTGGCTTGTACGTAGGTAGAACGTTAGAAACATGATTGATAAATGACAATACATTGCTAGAGAAAATGCCTTATCACTGCGACCGATAAGAGCTTTGTCAAGCTTTTGTCTATCTACTTCCCTTGATTTGAGGTTAAAGTCATGGGATTTAAGTTATTATAATTTTTAACAATTAACTTTCAATGAACTTACACTATAATTTTGCATAAAATATATAATATGAATAATATTTTTTAATACTAAATTAAAGTTTTATAGTTATTAGATACTAACTTAACTAAATTTTTTCCTTTTTAAATTTAAATTGCAAAATATTGAATGAAAAAAAAAAAAAAAGAAAAAAGAATGAAGAAGAAGAATAGTAAAATGAACGCCTTGTGGCCCTTTAGATTTAGAAATAGTCAATGGAGATAAACGAAGATACGACCTACATGGAAAAACTTGAGATGATGAAAATTTGTTTGTAAGAGATTGAATTTTAAAATGGGAAATGATTTTGAGGTAATTTTTTTGTATTATTTTTTGATATAATTTGACATGTCATTTAAATTATTGATTTTTTTAATTTATATAGAACTTATGATATTAAATATATATACTATTTAATTATATGTAAAAATTATATCAAAAAATAAAATATAAAAATTATCTCTATAACATTATTTTTTTAAATTTGTGAGTAAAGATATGAGTAATTTTATTATTAAATTACATAATTAATGGTGTTTAATTTATGATTTGTTAACCAATTTCAAAGTAACAAATGCAATCAACCGCCACCCTCAGCTCTTCCGTTGAGGTCTGAATCCCCTCATCAAATGTAAATCCATTAAAAAAAAAGTTATTTTCAAAAAAAAAAGTTATTTTCAAAAAAAAAATCCAAAACTTCAATCTTATTTATTTATTTATTTTTTATGGATTCAAAATTACGGTCTTACTCCTACCATTACACCACAGCTTCAATTTTGGTTAAATGTTGAGGTCATACCAATCTTTTTTTGGCTTTTTATCAAATGATTAAAATATTTTGAAACCTGATTTATGTGTTAAGTAGCGTTAATCACACTTAAAGGTTTATTTTTTTCTCTCTAAAAGTAACGGTTTTATTGATCTCATAATAAAAATGTTCAAAAAATAATAATAATTAAAATATTTTGATTAAGTATAATTGGTCTGACGTTTGACTCTC